CTGGCCGTCGGGGGTCTCGGCCATGGAAGTCAGGATGGGCAGACAACCAGCGGCAATAGCTGACTCAATGGGTGCCTTGTCAACACCATTGATCTTACCGACCAGGTTGTACTTGGGCTTATCGAGGTAATCGGCCGAAAAGACGCCTGCGGTAATGGGACGGGCACGGATACCGATGCGCTCGAGCTCCTCAACCAGCTTCATGTTCTCCTCCAGGAAGAGCTTGCGGGCGAGGGCCAGGGTCTTACCGTCAGTCACTCGGATTCCATCCTCAAACTGAGGCTCAACGCCAGCCGCCTCCAACATACGGTTAAGCTGGGGGCCGGCACCGTGGACGACGATCGGGTACAGACCGACATGGTTAAGGAATGCGAGCGCGGATGACAGGGTCTGGAGGTGCTCAGTAATAATAGCACCACCAACCTTGATCACGGCGAATTGCTGAGAGGACACGGAGGTGAAGTGTGACAGGTACTGCTGGACCTCGCGCTTAGAGCCAATATTGCTCAGCAGTTGCACGACGGTGCTGCGGGTGGAGGTCAGGTGAGGGTCCGTTGAGCGGGAGTAATTGCGAGTCTGGCGCAGGGAAGTGGGAGTCTTTGCAGCGGAGACTCGCAGAGCAGTCGGTGCGGAGAGGGAACGGAGGGGCTTGCACGAAGCTCTCCGCACAGCGGAGCGAAGGGACATCATCCTGGCAACGCACATGCGGCAGCCTCAATGGTCTCACGGTCGGCCCTGGGTGGGAGAGGCCCCAAATATGTATAAGTAGGTGGAAGGTAGGTGGAAGGTGAGAAAGTGTTGAGTCAAAAGAGATATTTTTCAGATCATCGGCCGGGCCTCGGAGCGATAACTTGGTCCAATGACGGGGAGAAGGCGGTGGACCCCCTCTAGCGAGCGATTTATCTCCATCTTTTTTTCTTTTACGTGCGACATTTAATTCCTATGACCTATTATTACTCTTCTATTTATGTCAGATTTGAAATTCATATCTCATAGAGTAGTAGTTTTTTCTGCACTTCTTTGCTTCTATAATAGTACAAAATATTCAACATTTGTGTGGCGCTATAACCGGGACCATAAAAAGTAAAAAAGAAAAAAAAGAAAACCATAAAAAAGAATCTTCACGCGCTTCGCTCGGATATCAACCTTGGAATCTCCCTGGACTTCCCCAAGCGAGAGTATTACCTCCGAAGAAGCCCACTTCTTCTGCTCGGAGATCGTGAAACGTCATCCTGCTTGGGTTTAGTCTCAGTTATCTGATCCTGTCCCTTCCTCTTACTCGTTACTTTAGGTAACCGCTATCCACTTCCCTCCACCCTGGCTGGATCTAGGACTCTGCGCTCCCTGCCGACCGTATATACGAGGGCTTCTCCAAGTGGTCTAATTGAGAGAATTGGTGGACACTTATTTTCGTGCCAAGATTTCCCAATATTATCTGATTTTTTCTAACTCCTCAACATCCTTCGGTAGATGAATTCCCGAAGCATTCAGAAGACTTGCGCTGCTGCACTCGTATCGCAGGACCCACGGTGGGAACATTTAGATCAAATCAGATTAATAATGAGTAGACAACTGACGCACAAGGGTTCCGACATATGGAGTACATGAATACGTGATGGTGATGGGTTCCTTGCAGGATGATCTTATTGGCGAATTGGACTTCATAGGTCAAATGGGTCTTGGACCACGTGGACTCAGTGTGTCAGCAAATAATACCTCCAGGGCTAGCTTTGTACATATACAAGATAAGGAGTATAAAACATGTAGCCAACAGAAATTGGAGGGGGACCCTCCAACCTACTGCCGGATTCAGTCGCCTTTCTTCCATCACCCTGTGTGCACACTCATGCAAAGATTGAGACTCAATGGACGAGTATGTATCCACAAGGGTGGATGTTGTCTTTGTTCGTCCGAGTGTGGATCTACGCTAACGTTCTACATTATATTATGTAGTGATCTAATGATCAGGTATCCCAACAAGGCCGGGCATTCAGTATAAAAGCACAATAAGGGAGATTCATTGTAGTAGAGAGCACCCGAATGGCAATGTGGTAAGCATACTTAAACACGGCGTCATGGAAGTATCATTTACATCTTCACCCGTCGACCGGGTCGCATGTAGCGACACAACTCAAATCGGATGATCTCGTTTCGTTGCATGGAAAAGTCAAAGAGGATTTGGTCATTGAAAACACGCCCAGAAAAAAACAGCAGGAGGTATTAGCGGCTGCGAAGAAAACGGAAAAGGCCACACGGCCCCAACAACAGTAAGCCCAGTAAAATTCAAGATCCCATGTCCAAAGAGAAGTCGTAAGTTGCGCACAGTCGAAGTGCTTAGTGCTTGGTGGCAACCACTATATATGGTGTTAGTGGCGAGCTAAGAAGTAGGAGAAGGCTAGGAAATGCTTACCGGACGGCACAATAATGACAATGAGAAGAACAATCACGCAAATGACCAGACACACGCGCATCTTCATGTCCTTCCACCACATATCTTTGCGCACGCGATTGGCGCCTCGGCGGAAACCCTGAGCCGAGACGGCAAGGTTGTCGGTCTTGTCCTGGAGAGAATCCAAGTTCTCACCACGCTGGGAGACCTTGTTGATGTTTTCGCGCATCACACCGACGGTATCATCAATTTGCTATAGAAGATACCACGTCAGCCCCATTTCGAGAATCAAGCGCCCCAGCCTTCGCATTTTGATAGATCAAAAAGACAACAAGCATGGACCATCCACCGGATGATATTTGAGTGTTTTCTCAATTATTATTGTCGCTAGGAGTGAAGAGACCGTCGAGGGTTGACTTACTGCTTGCAAAGCGGCGGTTCGCTGGTTGCCATTCTGACCGGTGGCACCGGGGGCTCCAGCGGAGCCGGAGGGGATATAGGGGTCGTAGGGTTGTTCGGAGGCAGCCATTATGAAAGTCGTGAAAGAATTTGAGAGAACCTCAGATTTGGATTGGCCGGATATTGGGAGTGTCTAGACGACTCGCGGAAGCACTAGGGGTTGCGCTGTTTTGATGGGGAAGCGCAGCAAAGGGGGAGTCTGGGGGACTAAAATCGACGCAGATGGTGGGTATGGAGGGATAGTTATCGTAGAATGATAAAGGTTGGGATGTAACGCAACGGCAAGTGACGGAGGAGGGAAAAGATTAACGTTGTTGTCTAAAGTGAAGCTGACAAGGTGAGTTGCCGCTGAGGCGGCTTTGCCCAGAGTCACGTGTTGTGGCGTTCTCAGTACAAAGCAGGCTCCCGCTTTGGGTCTTGAATGTTAATTATTTTCAGTCTATGAACATTGGCGTTTATGAGTTACGAAGGGCCATTTTCATCCTTAAGAAATCCGGCCTAGATAGCTTGGTGGTGTTCTTCCAAGCCAACTGAAATTTATTTACCGCAAACAGGCACAATATCGGAGTTACACTATGAGATGTACAATAATAGATAGTATTAGAATTCTATACTTCGCATAAGTACGTCCATGGTTTTGTAAAATTCTCTCTATGTATAAATAGTGTGTCCAAGGACATCGATTCTCATATAGCTGCCTATTGATATCAGTGCCAGTAGCTAAAAGCGTGTTGCTCGAGGAACCGTGAAGGGTTGTGCTATTATTAGTCCCGTCCACGGGTAGCAACTCGTATTAGGTAACATTTTCCGGACCCCCGGACCCTTTGGTTCCAAGGTTGACTTTGATGCCAGTTCATATTAGACGGCATGGTTACTTCAACATGCAAAGGACGTAACTCTGATATTGAAATATGAAGTGAACAGGCTGGTCGGATATTTATAGCCTTCTCGCCTTGTTCTAGCAGACAACGTTCTATAACAATTGTTCGAATATCTTCTTCGTTCCATTTGGGACTCTCACCTCCATGTAGATCAATCATTAGGTCCGCTTGATGGGGGCAAATCTAACGGACAATTGAATATCGCGATTTTGATGCCATTCTTCTCTTCTTGTCGATTTTTGTTGCATATGTTTCTCAATTGAGTCGTCAAATGACTTCTTGAAGAGCTACCGCATTCATCCAGTCCATCTAATACAAGGTAAACTCGACGCTTCTGCGCCCTCTCTTGTATAATTTTCTCGGGGCAATCCCCAAGATCTGCGATATAGGCGTCGCTAAAAAGATATTGCTCTATACCATGGAACTTGTCTGAGATCATCATATACAGGTCCTCTGGGTCATCTGGATCCTCTGACTCCAACAGTTGATTCAATAAGCCAAGAACCACTGCAAGCTCCGTGGGACGCAGGATGTCTCTTGTGTCCCAAAAGCAAGTAAGCACCATATCGTTCTTTCGTGGTTGGCTGGTCAAATGTGTGGCAAGATGAGTCTTCCCCTTTCTAGGACCGCCACACATCCAAAGTAATCCGGGGATGTTGCTGTTATCGCTAGTCCAAGACACAAAGTTTAGAATCTCTCCGGGTCATTTGCAGAGTTTGAGGGTTCACTTCTTTTTCTCGTGGACGAGGGCCGAGTGTCTTGACAAGAGCTCCCATAATTTTTTCATACTTGAATTTCTTTTTTTTTTTTTTTTTTTTTTTTTTTTTTTTTCCCTCCGTTACCAAGGCACAGGGAACAGAGGCACAACTAAGGGAAGCATAGATACTGATGAGAAGGATGGATCGGGTGATACAGGACACAATGACATTCAAACCCAGACAAATTGGAAGTGCTGTGTTGGCGGTTTTGGTGTCTAGTCTACGTAACATAGCATTTTCTGCGCATCTCGTAGAGACATTGTATTAAATGCTTTTATAGATGACATTAGTATATATTCTACGCACTTTTGAGATAAATGCAGGTATATGTCCCTAGTTGTAGCAACTTGCCTTTAGCCAGATTGATGCAAAGATATGATATCCTGATATAAGGGCACATCGTTGGCTTAACTAATGAGTCTCTATAGAAGTATAATAACTATTTGATGGGGTCCTTTACCCCCATCCAACAAGAATGAATTAAATCCTCATCAATTCTTGCTGAAAAAAATACTACCGCAAAGCAGTATATATCAAAACAAACAGCAAAACGTATTTGATGGTATGGTCAAGCAGGAGAGAGGCAAAAACGGTACCAGAAACAGGATAGTTGACCTGCGAGCTGGCTGGGCCAGCCTCATTATCTCTGATCTCAAGGTGACTGATAGTCTTCCACTCATCTTCTCCGACTGGTCCATTGATCTGCAGCGCTTGTAGTCGTGTTAAGTTACCAATAATTATTCGGGTATTTCCTCCATCGGGAACAGATACTCCAATCCGATTCAAATCATCTCGGTCCAAAACAACCGTACCGTCTTCTATTTGCAGTTAGTTTGGGTAGATATCCTTCAATATTGACTTATCAGACGCTTACCATTCAGGGGCCGATCTTTCAACAGACTTGCAATCCTCAATCCCTGTCCATCACCAAGTAGCTCCCTTAGGGTCCGATCAAGGTGGCTAATTTCGGCTGTGTTGGCGACAATATTGCTTTGGGCATCACGGGTAAGTCCAACACTAGCAACCTGTACATGCAAGATGATGTTTGTCTTCGCCGTGTTCATTCTTTTCACAATGTTATCGAAATTTCCCTCATCCTTTGATCCGCTGATAAGTTGATAGGCCAGCTGGCGGGAAATAGACTTCTTCCCTGGATCTAGTCGCTCAAGAAGCGTAAGGAGCTCCTGTGACAGATCCTTCATTTTTACCAACTCGGATGTCACGGCTGCTGTCTCAAGACATCTCTGGCTGTGAACAACCTTTATGACACTCTCAGTACCTCGTAAATCCTCATGGTGCTGTGCTAGTAAGATGGGTTGAGCTTGTTGACGTGAGTATGCGTCCCTAAGTCGACTGGTGATCTTGATTGATGTTTCCAGTAAGGCTATGACGGTAGCGGTGATGGAGAGGGGGTCCTTATATTATCATTAGCAAAGACACGGGTTGAACACTCCGCTAACTGACCATGATACTGTCAGAAATACTGGGTATCCCAAGTAAATAGATAACAAGTGCTGATATAGCTTCGAAACGGATGATCTGCTGAAGCGATCCAGTGAGTGGTATGAATTCCACCACTTCAGATCGAGCCAACTCTGAGGAACTTCACTGCAGATACTTGTTGGATATTTTGAGGGATTGATCAATTGGCGCAACTGGCACATTAGGGGTATTAATTGTCGACCGGTTACGCTCGACCAAATAACTGATTCATTGCTCATGCGCTAAAAATCACAACTGCCTACATGATCTACACGTTGAGCGCTATCATCCTACCGTTACGCGCTCATGCAATATGTCTGGCCATCTAAACTTAGGTATATGCATAAGGAAGCCTAGTTGTTTCACTAAACTGAAATAGGACTTTGAGAACGGCTTTTCTTGTTAGCCGCCGACTCCACCAAGACACGGTACATACATCACCTTAGTGCCTATTATTCATGCCCATCAGTTCCTGCCGGGCTATGATCCACTTTCATCCTGCTTAGACCTACCACAATCCCTACTTGGGCCGCTGTTCAGCCAACAATGGCCCACTAAGGGTCTACCAATCTCAGGGCCGGATTCTTACCTCCATCATACATGTAATTTCTATCTCTTCAGACGAAAATTATTTCCAACTTTCCTCCCGCTGGGTCTATTATATAATTGTTAAAATGCGGAGGATATAAGTAGTAGATAGATATAGATTAACAATAGACTTCTATTCCTCTCTAAATTCACTTCTTCTGTAGTGCGCCTATATTTTTTTTATATACAAAGTTTGGTATTAAGCTGGATTGCGAGTGCTGAATCGACCTGTATTCCTTTGAGCATGCAGACCTAAGCGTTCCCTTCAATATATAAACAGGAATCTAAAAAAACACCATGCAGCCTTATAAACTACCAACTATTCTTATATTTATATATCACCATTTTTAAGGCACTCTGCTAGCTCTCTACCCTTAAGTATAAAGATAAAGTGCTGGACGCTTGGCATGATTGGCTCTCATGTGTGGCAGTAAGAAAGATCGAAGGCGTGTAAATCTTGAAGAAGTCCAGAGAAAGCGAAAAGGAACAATGTATAATACCAACCTTTAACCAATGCTAAGCCCCTCACATTTTTACGAGGTAGGAAAACACAGGTAGAGTTATAGAAGCGCATCACTTCGGTAGCTGTGGGGATGTATAGAACCCTTATATCCTCGAATTCCTACCATCTCATTACCGCACAGCCACTCATACCTAACCCCTAATGGCCTTCGCAACAGCCTCTTGAATAACCCTAGCCATCTCCTCCGTATTCTTCACATCAAACGGAACCATATGCTTAGAACCATGATCATAGAAAGTCGCCTTAGCGGGCTCACAAAGCTTAAATAACTTCAACCCCTCAGGGAACAGTGTGTCCGCCTTGCCAACGATATTCGCCGTCGGAATGGTAATCGGATACACATCCGGCTGTGGTGCGATATGTTCCAGTCCGGAACTCTCCCACGGCGCCGCGCCACAGATAAACACCGCTGCGCGGAACAGCGACGGTTCGGCTGGGTATGTCTTGCTTTGGTGGATTAGAAGCGAGGCTGCTAGTGCCGCGCCTTGTGAGAAGCCTATCACTGCGTCGAATGGGCCTTCTTCTTCGATGAAGCGCTTGGTATGATCGAAGGCTTCGAGGATGCTGGAGCCGGGCGAGGAACCTCGGGTGTAGTGGTTATAGAAGGGGCCGTCCACTATGCCTTCGAGTTCTGGGTTGGATTTGGGTTAGTAGATGGTTCATGCAGCTAGTAGCTGTGTGTAGGGAGTAGAGCTTACCCTCCTCAACTTTGGCGTTTATCTTTCCGTTCATGAATGTGAATTGGTGACCGCTTCTTTCTAGTATTTGGCGGACGCCTCCAATTTGAATTTCGAAGATCTGTAGCTGGTTAGTATTTTCTTTGTATGTCTGAATTCAGCGCATACTTCGCCATTTGTGCCGCCGCCGTGCAAGCAAAGAAATCGCATTTTGGTGCTTTTGGATATCGTTTCTTAATGCTTGAAGTGTAGATTGTTTGGTAAGGAAGAGATTATAGTGAAACAGTTCAGAATTTCGTGTTACAGTCGAATCACTTTCGAGGAAGAGGAAAAGAGGAGAGTCTACAGGACAGGTGGCCAGGAGAAGAGAATCTCGAGAGGTACAAGGGGGATCAACCTGCGGGGTGACTTGCAGGACTGGACTAGCTTGGCGATGAATTCGGCGTCTGATGTGAGATATACCAAGATCGACAGATACATATACAAAGATCTATTCAATATTATTTCTTTCGTACTTATGTACTTATTAAGTTGTGCATTCTTCAGATTACATATGTAATAGCTACTTTGTATACCAGAAATAAACTCAGGTTAACACCTGAGCATCTATGCAGAAACGAAATTCCTGTTATGTGGACCAATAGGAAATAGGAAATCTTGATAAGATCTTCTTGAAAAAGCCTCGGAAGCCCTCCCATCTCTCACTACTCGTACACATGCGAAAACATGGTGTTCCTTGGCCCCAGCCACTGACCTCTGGATACTTTATTCCCACCCCTGGGCTAACCTGATTTCAACCTCCACATCCCCTCATATTCTTTTCAATTCTGAGATGGATCTCCGTGATATTATAGCCACTCGTGGCTTCGCGACCTATAGCTTGCGTCATCCTCGGGAGGCGTTGTCGAGCTTTGGCCCTACTCTGAATGAGGCCACCTTCGGCTATTTAGGGGCATCGTTTCAGCCGGAGCGTGACATTCGCAGCCTGGACGGCAAGGTCGTCCTTGTGACGGGAGGTACATATTTTATTTCTATCTATCTCCAGCTTCCAGAACGCTGACACTGCGATTGATCTAGGCAATGCTGGACTAGGCAAAGAGACTATCCTCCAGCTCGCCAAGCATCGCCCGTCGCGCATCTACATGGCCGCCCGCACCGAGAGCAAAGCGCGCGAAGCAATCGAGTCGCTACAAAGCCAGCTATCCTCCCCCGCCGATATCCGCTTCCTCGCACTCGATCTATCTTCCTTTAAATCCATCCGCGCCGCCGCAGACAAGTTCCAGTCCGATAGCGACCGTCTAGATATCTTGATCCTAAATGCGGGCACGATGGGCAACGCGCCCACCACGACAGAGGAGGGATTCGAGATCCAGCTCGGCACAAACCATATCGGTCACTTTTTGTTAACAAAACTACTTCTCCCTACCCTACAGAAGACCATTGATCTCCAGCGCGCCAAGGAGGAGGTGCCCGATGTCCGGGTTGTGACTGTCAGTTCGGCGGCTCACGCCGTTGGCCCCTCCACCTTTGAAGAAATTACATCTACCCCTGGCTTGCTCGCTTCTAGTACCTGGACGCGATACGGCGCTTCCAAGTTGGCTAATATCCTATTTGCATCCGAGCTGGCCCGCCGGCATCCTGATATCTTGTCTATTGCTGTGCACCCCGGTGCGGTTGACAGCGGGCTCTATGGATATACAAAGAGTCTCAACTCGGTGATGAATTACGGTATCTCTGCTGTTGGCTCCATGTTCTTCCGAAGGGTCGCTAGTGGAGCCCTGAATTCTCTTTGGGCGGCTGGCACGCAAAGAGAAAACATTATCAATGGAGCTTACTACACTCCCGTTGGGTATCGCAGTGGTGGCACTGCGCCTGTACAGAACGCGCAATTGGCTCACAAGCTCTGGGATTGGACTGAGGCTCAGGTTTCGAAGCGAAATTGAATGAACCCCTCGAGGCATGTATAAATGTATGAAATGACTGAAATTTTACTAGCGATTTAGCTTGTTTCTGTTTTTGAGAATTCAAATTGCAATGCGCGTTGTCATTCTCCCGCCTGTAAGAAGCCGAGGGCATGGAGGCAAATGGCATCATGATGATTTCGACGTCAGTCATGCTGCCCTAGTCCCTCAATAAGTGCCCTCGTAGCTTGTTACATTTCAAACCGATTGCCCCGGAATTAAAAAGTTATCCCCTAAGCAGAGATTCAACCCTCAATCCCGTGTCTCGTTGGACACTATCACTAGCATGGGCCACATCGTCGTGACCGGTGGCTCCGGAAAAGCAGGCCAATTCGTCATCAAGGAGCTCCTCAACGCCGGACACACAATCCTAAACCTAGACTTAATGGCATTGGAACACCCAGACGTGCATACCCTGAAAACCGACCTCGCCGACAGCGGCCAAGTCTTCAACGCCCTATCCGGTCAATGGACACTCCGCGAGCCCTTCCCGGAAGGCCTCCCGCCACGGCCAGACGCCGTAATCCATCTCGCAGGCTACGCACGCAACATGCTCGTGCCAGACAACGAGACCTTCCGGTCGAACACCCAGGGCACATACAACATCATCGAGGCAGGGTGCAAGCTAGGAATCCGCAAGATCATCATCGCCAGTAGCGTAACAGTGTACGGGGTAGCTTTCGCGCAGGGCGATACCAACTTCCCCTCATTTCCGATCCACGAAGACCTGGACGTGAACCCGACGGATACGTACGCGATCGCGAAGCTGTGCGGCGAGCGCATCGCACGGGGTTTTGCGGCACGCTTCGGGGTGGATATCTACATCCTGCGCATTGGGCGTGTTATTGAGCCCGAGGAGTACAATCAAGATATCTTCTACAGCTATGTGCATGAGCCGACCATGTGGAAGGTGCATGGATGGTCGTACATTGATTCACGGGATCTGGGTGGGATGTGTGAGGCGGCGTTGCAGACTGATGGGCTTGGATTTCAGGTCTTCAATGCTACTAATGATCACATTACCAATCTTAGTCCGACAAAGGACTTTTTGAAGTCGCAGTTCCCAGATATACCTATCACGCGTGAGATGGAGGAGTTTGAGGCGCCGTTTTCTAATGCGAAGATCAAGAAGCTTCTTGGGTTTCAGGAAAAGCATCCTTGGCATAAGTATTTTAGTAATTGGGAGAAGAAGCAGATTGAAATGGAGGAGACGGAAAGGATTAGTGGTTAGTGATT